ATCAAAATCAGGGTGACGATGGGAATCCTGTACTGGCTGATACCGCAGGCATTGCTATAAAGAGTTCATCACTCTTTTATCATAATTTTCATATAGAAGATGGAGAACAGCAACAAGAACTGCAAAACAACATGGTGGCACCAAGAAGACAAGAATCAGAAAGCTACGCAAGCAGTATGAGGACGTATCCGAGCAGATGGGCAGTGAGAAATGCTTAACTTATTTTGATAGCTTTCGTTTGTAGTGTATTGACTGTCATGATGGTCACATTTGAGACAAACGTCTTCGCCAGTTTTCATTTTATCACTAGCTAGCTATCTTGGCTATCTCAGTGTAGCATAGATTTTAGAAAAGGTGGGCTGGTGGTCTGCATCATATAACTCTTGGTCTGAAAACAAGCCCCACTCCTGCCCTGAATTGGTATGTTCAATGTCGAATCACCTCTGACATACCCTGAAAAATAAAATAAATCTTTTTTGACTGGAAACTCGTAGGAAAAGGAAAAAACTCTTCTAGTATCAAAAAATCTTAATAAGGTCTTCCATTGTGCTTAAACCTGCCAAGATAATGCTTATGTTTAGTGACTAAGATCATTGGAGTAATCCATCCATACCAGAGTTCTAACCCACTTATACAGTAACATAGACATCCATACCAGAGTTCTACCACACTTTTACAATAACATATCCATACATAAGTTCTAAAACACTTATACAGTAACATATCCATACCTGAGTTCTACCACGCTTATACAGTAACATATCCATACCTGAGTTCTACCACACTTATACAGTAACATATCCATACCTGGGTTCTACCACACTTAAAACACATTATTTTTTATATATTTTATATACATTTTATTGGCTTTGCTTGTTATTTTCTTACAGAAAAATGTTTGAATACAAAATCTCATATGAGGAAATGAAAATGATCTATAATGAAAATTGCTTCTGGGGAAAGAAACAAAAGTGCTTCAGGCGCCTCACCTGCAGAACAAAAATAACTGCAAAAGAATGAACCCCAACGCCACAATGACAAACATGAAAACACCTCTGCCTCATGAAAACACCTCTGCCTCAATGGTACATTTACACATATGAGCAAGTCACTCATGCCGTGGGCACTGATGCACCACCTTAGCATGACCAATGTTCACTTTTGCATCTTTCACTGATAAAAGTTTGGATGGTCTGTTTCATGTTTGGCACAGAGAATTCGATGTCTTGTTTTCCCAAAAACATGCTGAAATATGGACTCATCTGACCACAGCATACATTTCTACTGCCTTTCAGACCATCTGAGATGAGCTCAGGCCCAGAGAACTCGGCGGCGTTTCTGCAAAGAATTGATATGTGGCTTTCTCCTTGCATAATAGTTTCTAGTTGCATTTCTTGATGCAGCAGTAGACTATGTAAAGTCACAATGGTTTTCTGAAGTAGTCCTAAGCCCATGTAGCTATATTTAACACAATAACATGACTGTTTCTCATGCAGTGTGGTCTGAGGGCTCGAAGGTCACAGACATTCAACAGTGCTTTCCAGCTTTGCAACATTTGAAAAAAGTTTGGACACCCCTGCACTAAGCCAAGTTTTAAAAAGCACAGCAGAGCAGAGAGAGAAAAGTCTACTGTCCTGTCAAGCTGTAACTTTGGATTGGCTGACCTTGGTTTCGAATCCTTCCTTTGTTTATTAACCCATTTTACTAAAGTGTGGTCTGCGAGCATCTGAATTCTGTCCAAGCCTGACACTGATGTTCACTTTTGCACCTTGTACTGATACACAGTTTGGATGGTCTTTTTCATCTTTGGCACAGAGAACTCATCTCGAATTGTTTCATGAAGTTTTTCATGAAATGGTAAAATGTCTTACTTTCAACATCTGATACGTGTTCTATGTTCTATTGTGAATAAATATAAATGTTGCACCATTCTTGGTGTTTTTTTTGTCCGATTTACCTCACTATTTTCCCCCTACCATTCAGAAAGGTGAGTTCTACCACACCCATACAGTGACAGACATCCAGTTCCAACACACATAAAGTATTTGTATGGCGTTCGTTTTCCATAGAGAGGTGAGGTAATTCAAGTTTACCGGAAGGCATCTGTAATGTTCACGACCAATTTACACTGAATATGAATTTCAGTAGAAGTGACAGAGATGGGAGTTGCTAGTCAACTTATACACTGTCTACACTCCAAAAAAGAGAAAGCATGTCAAAACTCTTTAATCGTTATTCAGTTTACCCTAATCTCCTGTTGTGCTATCTTAAGTAAATGCAGTGTCATTAGCTTGGGAATTCACATCCAACAGTCAATTTAATCAAATTAACTTTTTTTTAACAGTCAAATTAACTTTTTTCTGTAATTTTTAAGTTTGAGTCGAGGTAGGACAGTACATATCGGCCTGAGAACACAAACAAGTAATAACTTCTTTGAGTCCATCAATACCTAAACATCTTTTCAACAGGAAATGATAGCATTTTTAACAAATTTTTGAATTGTGCAGGATTAATATAACCTGAGATTATTTCTACAGCTCGTTTTATAGAAAGTAAAAGATGCCAGTTTACTTACAATGGCATTTTAGGGCCACTGTTAATAAAAATAAAAAATAGTAGACTTTGAGAAAAAAGTCGTACTACTTTGAGAAAAAAGTCGTAATATTTAAAGAAAAAAGTTTTACGGAATGATATTCCTAGAAAAAGGTCATACTACTTTGAGAAAAAACTTTGAGAAAAGTTGTAATATTTCAAGAAAAAAAGTCATTAAAGTGCCATTAATACCAGGAAAGGTCACAATATTATGGCCAAAGGGTCTGTAAAAGGGAAGACAGCACCTCCTCGTGTTAAATGAGGGGCGGTGAGTTGGTGGAGTTATACTTTCATATCGATTCACCCATAAAGAAATACTCAGTCTACCTGTCTCTCCTGCACATTAGCACCAGCCTGTTATTAGTAGTTTCACAGACATTAAGAATGATAATCAAAATGATCGATCCACAAGGAGACAGGAGTGAGTGGAACTCTGGCGCCAGTACAGCAGCTGAGACCCCAACGCGTTATGGCAGCCCCCCTACAGTTAGCCCACTTTATCCTCGAAATAGTATGACTTTTTATCTCGAAATTGTACAGTTTATTTTTCTTGAAATAGTACGACTTTTTTCTAGAAGTCTACTATTTTTATTTTTATTAACAGTGGCCCTAAACCACCACTGTATTTGCTGAAGCAGGATCATGCAGTCGGTAAAAGCAACTGACATTGCCAATTCAGGCTGGACTAAAACCACTGAGAAACGCCGATAAAAATGACATTACCTCACCTCCTCATGTAAAACTAATCCCGTCAGAATAGTGCTTTATACAGTAAAACAGACATCCATACATCCATACCTAAACTCACGTGCACAATGTCACTGTCATGCAAACACACATTTTATTGGTTCTGCTTGTTATTTGCTTACAGAAAAATGTTTGAATACAAAATCTCATATGAAGAACTGAAAATGATCTGTAATGAAAATTACTTCTGGGGAAAGAAACAAAAGTGCTTCAGGCCACCCTCACCTACCGAAATAACTGCACAAGAATGAACCCCACCTAAATACCACAATGACAAATATGAAAATGTCAAAAGCTATTTCTTTTATTTTCATACAGAGAATGATTGATGTGAGTAAAGGCCTGTTTCACAAATGCTATTTCTGTGTAGTGTGAATGGCACACAGAGAATGTGTACAGGTGCAAGCATACCGTAGTCATTACAATATAGCTCCAATTTGACATTATAATGGACTTGCATTGTTCCCACAGATACGTCTGTTTTTCCCCAAAAACATGCTGAAACATGGACTCATCTGACCACAGCATACATTTCCACTGTCTTTCAGACCATCTGAGATGAGCTCAGGCCCAGAGAAATTGGTGTCGTTTCTGCAAAGAATTGATGTATGGCTTGTATTGCTGTATCTCTGGACTGCATGATTTCAGTAGTATTGTGACACCAGTACACAGATGTACTAAGCCAGGGGTGTCCAAAGTGCAGCTCCAGGTCCAAATGCAGCCTGCAGATAGATTTTAAGTATAAGTGGCTCGCCAACCATTACATTGCAGATTTTCCTTTCAGCTGATGGTGGAAGCAGTACTGTAGAATTACAATGTAATGTGCTGCACTGTTAACAGACTTGGCTAAAGTGTAAGAGCCTTTCTTCTCTGACTAGCCCTGCAACTTAATGTCATTACCGAATGACATTTGGTCAAAACTACCGCCATAAAGCACAAACTTAACATTGAAGAGTCACAGCGAAATGTGCTTCATATTTCAAATGACTAACAAATTTAATATCAACAGACATGAAACAAAGAATGAACGTTTTCAGTTTGTCTCACAAATGATGAAAAGGAATATACTTGAATAGGACATTACTTAAAACATTAGTCACGTTTTGTTCTTACTCTGATTAAACAAGTCAGCAATTTAAGTGCTAACCGATCCAAATTGCTGGATAAGGTCCAGTTTTAAGCATTGAGACATTTCACCCTGCATAAACACGCACATGCTGTAACTCTGCTGGCGTCAAATTGTCAGAATGGGTCGCCAGCAATTCTTGTACACACACACACACACACACATATATATATATTTTATAATTTTCTTGCAACAAAACCTAAAATGACAAATATTAGACATATTGACCAAAGATGATTCAGCACCTGTCAAGATATCGTGTCACCCTGCTATACTGATGTGGTGATGGGCCTCCTCTGCTCCAGCGCCAGAGGGCTTGATGAGGAGGAAACAGGTCATACTTCATAGTGATGTCGTGTGAGCTGATTCCAAACTCCTCAGGGGTTGTGGAGTGAGGGTGGTATCATGTGCATACCAACAGAGAAAATATTTCCCTGCCGCAGCAGGTTCATCTTGATTGATAACTACATATTTCAGCTGCCGTGTTTCCGGACATATCGCATATAAATATAGGCAAACGGTGATGCTCCACTCATCAGCTGCTACATTGCTCTAGACACAGCGCTACCAGCCTGCAACTTGGTAAGACATTGTCTTTTAACTTGTATTTTAAAATCATAGTGCAGTAGTAATAATAATAATAATAAGAAGAAGAAGAAGAAGAAGAAACAATTATACAACCATTATTAGTACTTCTATTACTACTAATTTTAATAATAATAATAATCATAATAGAAAACTGATTATACTACTGTTGCTTCTACTATTAATTTTAATAATAATACTAATAATAATAATAGTAAAGTATGAGTATAGCACCATTGCTACTACTACTGCTGCTACTACTACTATTATTATTATTATTATTATTATTATTATTAATATTATTATTATTATTAGTAGTAGTAGTAGTAGTAGTAATAATAATAATAATAATAATAATGATTTTTTTTTTTTTTTTAAACCATTTTGAGAATATAATTGTCATTCAGGCTTGAAAAATCTAATTTGGCTTCAAGTTTACTCCTCATATCAGGAGCGTGGGCTGCAGGGCCGTCATTAAAATTTGTGGGCAGGACATCTAAGATTTACTAAATACTAAGTCACTATTGATCTGGAAACCCCAATGTCTGTTCATCAAGAACTTTTAGAGCAGGAATAGGCAGAATATTCATATTCATTCATGCCTCTTCATCGTTTGTATCAGGTGTAGATCTAATACGACGCCCGTGCTGTCCATCCACTTCCAACAGGAGCAAATCAGGCAGCGGTGCTGAAGTGTAGTGACCCTGTCTCCTCTCTCTTAGACCAACTGCTATTCAAACATGCAGATTAGTACTTAGCATTCGTGAAATTAGTCATTTTACTATTCACTGTTTTTCTATTTCGAACAATGAGCTAAATGTAGAACCATTTCACGCTTAAATGGTTCTTTGCATGGTGAAATGGTTCTTCTGATTGATGGAGAATGTGTTGTATATGGTTCCTTTGTGAAATCTTAACATCATAACAACAGCAGAACCCTTTTTGGTGCTAAATAGAACCACTTTTAAAAAGGTTCTGTATAGAATCATGTAACATACTCTCTGTAAATCTGAAGATCCATTTACCATGCAAAGAACCATTTAAGCATGAAATAGTTCTATATACACTCTTAAAAAAATTCAAGGGTTCTTTAGTAAAGACAGTGGTTCTGTATAGACCCATGAACACTCAAAGAACCATTTGGTTCTTTGTAAGGTGAAATGATTCTTCAGATTGACTGAAAGTCTGTTACATATGACTCTATATAGAACCTTTTAGGAAGTGGGTTCTGCTATTGTCACAGTGTCAAGCGTTTAACAGTAGAAGAACCTTTTTGGTGCTATGTAGAACCATGTACAAAACATCCTATGACAATCTGTGCAAAGAACCATTTTATCAGGCAAATGGTTTTTTGAGTGTTGAAAGTTCTATGTAGAACTATTGTCTTTACTAAAGAACCCTTAAGGATCCGTCTTGTGTATGTCAGCCAAGGCAACACTGGATTAGTGCAGCAATAGCGCCTCCCCCTGTTCACACCCTGCAATCACAGTATATTGGGAATTTGGAGGCACCATAGAACAGCTGAAAATCACATGCTGCCTCAAAGTCCTTTAACAAACCTGCAGAGATGACATTCATCCGTCTGAACTGACTGATGAAACTGAGTGGAACCGACATGCTTGTGAAACCTTGAGGCAGAGTTTATATTTTGACTCCACAAGACTTTCATGTAGAATATCTGCTGTAGGATTGGATTTAGATTGGACACTTGGCTGCATTTCCAGCCCATGAGCCGACTCTCTGAGAACGCTGTATGAAGAAAAGTCCTAATCTCTTGCTAGAGGGCGCTCTCAAGCGAGTCCAAAATGAATGGGTTAATATGGAGCATTTCAGCAAAATCATAGTTTATAAATGCTTAACCTCTCATTCTCCAGGGCATATTTTGGTTTGTCCATCTGAATTTACATGACCAAATTGTAAGCATATTATTCAGTAACTGCATGAAATAAATGTAAATCTTTATTTTATTTATTTATTTATTTTTTGTAAAAGTTCCCCTCAAATTAACAGAACGTGTTTTATTATCAGACACATATCGCTATATGCTTACAATTTACTGCTGAAAGCCAAAAATCTTAGATGCTCTTTGTATTATTTTATAAAAACTATTTTTATAGAGCAGATCACTGAAGAGACGCCATCTGTTTGTAGTTTATAGCCCAGATTTGTGGAAAAAAAAAAAGTGAGTTCAGCTTCTTTTATTATAAGGGTTTAAAATGACATCACCCATCTATTTGACTGGAAAGAAGACAGTTCTGGGCGAGTGATTAGAAACTATTTTTTGTTTTTAGCTGTTTAGCTCCATTTACTCCCATTTATTGAGGAATCCCTCGCAGGTGCCCTCTGCTGTTTAGCAGTCCTGTTTTTGATATAAAGGGGGGAAATAGGAAGTGGCCAGGCTCTTCATAAAACGGCTCTGACTGTAAGCTCAGATAAGTTAATATAAGTTCCCAAAAATGTCAGGTTTCCCTAGTTAAAAAGTTAGAGAACCAACCAAACAAGTTTTTAGTTCAATGTGCATAAGAGACTAAACACTACATGTTAGAATAACTTAATAATGTATCATGAACGCATCTTTCTGCAACTGTAACGTTTTGATTTTGATTTTAGCCTGAAATCTCAACTTAAATTTCAAGTTCATTCTTTTTTTTTATTTTATTTTATTTTATTTATTTATTTATTTTTATTAAAGGATTCATACAGTAACATAACTTACAACAACCAACAGCCAGGGGTGTGCTTACACGTTCAATAAATCATGATCAACACATAATTCCACATTTTTGCTTTCTTGTTTTTATATTTTTATATTTTATGAGCGTTATATATATGCATGAGTTTACTTTATAAGAGCTTTGGAAGCTTTAGTAGCCACTTTTATTAGTTCTTATGAAATTTCACACACTGAAATGTTCTGGACTCTGGGGAAATGCAGGTTATAGTTATAAATCCACCAAGCTAATCTCCTCAGCCTTTTCTGGAGTCTGCGTTTAAAGCATCTGCATGTCTTTACATCATTTTAGTGGTTTTTCTGGTCTATTTTGCTTTGTTTTTATCCACTTGCAGGGTTGTAAATGCAGTAACAGTGATAAGGCGAGCTCTATCAGAGCGCAGGTAGAGTTACAGTAGAGCCGGTTACAGGAGGAGCTTGGCTTCTTCCTGTTTTCCGCCAGAGGGCGCCTGCAAGCAAATCCTCAATGAATGGGGGTGAATGGAGCTAAATTGCTGATTGAAAGTGCTGATTGGTTGGCGAGCGGAGCAGCTTATTGGCTGTTTGTGCTCACTGACGTCATGAGGTGCCGTTTTAAATTCCTATAACTCATTTAAAAGTTCAAAAGCTCTTAAAAAACATAACAGCAGTGTTAAAATGTTTTATCCTGTTCAGTGTTCAGGAAAAGACTGCATTCTTTTACATTAAAAATGTTTCAGCATTTATAAACTATGATTTTGCTCAAATGCTCCATCTTAACCCATTCATTCTGGACTCGCTTGGGAGCGCCCTCTAGTGTTTGAGAAGACTTTAGAGTGATAAATCCTCCTCTCTGCAAGTCTCTGGTTAGAGCTGACATGGTCGTCTTAATGACGTGGTTGAATACCTTAAAAAGTTAATTACATAAGTAGTATTGACAACTTGGCCAAACACTAATTGGTTAACTCTGGTCACTGTAGAGCCCCACCAGCGTAGGACACACTGCAGCAGGGAGGACGCCAGTGCGCCCTTTAAGCCAGTGATACAAGAACAGGCACTTAAGCAAACGTGAAATTAGACGCCTAAGGGAAAGTAGTGTGGGTGGAATATAAACACATTGACAGTAAGTCAGAAAAAAAGCAAAGAAATGCCCAGCGTGAAAATAGATGGAGCCAGAGGCAGGAAATAGTGATGAGATTGTGTCAACCTGACAGACAGGTCTTTTAGGTAAACTTAGTGTCACTCAGCAGAGTTACATTAGTGGGAAATGAGAAAGCTGCAGCCGTGTAGTATCATTTGTCGAATATGGCGGCTTCAAAGTTGCCACTGGCAACAGACTACATTGCAATAAGTTGTTTCAACTCAAAAATGCCATTTGAGCAAAGGGAATTATCAATAAAGTTCCCTGAACTTAAAATAGGTGAGTAACGTGTGGAGTAGATTGGGTTTTATGCACAACAGACTTCATTTATTTGGATTAAAACAAAGAGTAGGATTCTGTACAGCAACACTTTGCTCCTGTTTATTTTGCTGTTGTTTGCTCTATTACAGTGTCAGTGTTAAGATGCACCAAATATGAGCTGATACAGTTTTGATAAGTGTCATCTGTTTATTAGTTTACTGAATTCCAGCAGTACAAAAAATCGAAATCGCTAAAAGAACAGATAAACTTTCCGCATGCTGGAAAATTAACCTTTCCTGCCCTGCTTTCTGTTTATGGAAACACGTGCGGCATCTGCGCGATTCAGGTTTCCTTGTTCCTCGTTACAAGACTGTCTTTGAAATTCTTCTTAGAAACCTCAGTGGTTTCTTTTACCCACTGAAAGGAAATAGTTTTAAAATGTGGAACAGATAGATTACAAAAATACCAAAAGATGAAATACAAGAAAAGACTAATAATATTAATTTATTTATTTGAAAAAACATACTAAAAGCACGTGTGAGTGTTTTCAATAAGTTAATAAATAATAAATTGATGATTTATTTATTTGATATATTTATTTGAAAAAACACACATTTTACACAAGCTTTAGTATTATATATATATATATATATATATATATATATATATATATATATATATTTATACACACACACGAAAAAATGGCTTGTCAGATCTTACATGTAGTAACAACCAACTGAACTTGTTTTATTCAACTCAAAAAAATACACTGACTGAAAGAATTGTTCATGTTAAATTCATTCAGGTTGAATATATATATATATATATATATATATATATATATGTATATTATGTTTATATAAAGGAACAGTTTTGGAATGCAGAATACATTAAAAGAAAAGTTTAATGAAATTCATTGAATTTACTTGAAAGAAAGTATATTTAAGCATCTTTTATCTATAAATTCACAGGAGGTTGGTTCAGTGGTTCATGCCAGCTGTTCCTCCACCTCTTACTCACTACATCATTAACTCACTATGCACAGCATAGTGTAAATGCTTGAGTTAATAAGTTGATACTCTTCACAAGTAAAACACTTTGTGCTCTGATTAGATCAAAGAGAAATTCTAAGAATGTTGCTAAGTGGCAGACACTGGATGAGTCTGTGTGACAGCACCACCTTTGAAATACATACCATTCTCTAGACAATCATCTAACCACTATGTTTTTCTCACTGGAGAAACAGAAAGAGATGATCATGGTGGAACGCGGAACAGATTAAAAAAAAAATGAGCATGAAATAAAATAAATCATGCAGTGTATCTTGCTGTTAATAAACTCATAGGAGATTGGCTCAGTGTTCTGTCCACTCCACCACCAAGTTCACAATCTTTTATAACTTTGGCTAAACTTTGGATTTTTAGTCATCAGGCTTTTCTGCTTGTCACAGTACTGTCATCTGGGCACATGTGACAGTGAACATGTTGGACGACTGTTACTGTACTATAAGTAAGGTATACAGTACAGTATACAGAACTGTCTTACTGATGTTAATAACCCTTGGATGTGTGCCATAGTAATATTGAGGATTTTAGATGTGCAAATTACACAAAAACAAAAACAGCTGTAACGGTAAAGAGATAATGTCCTATCTTTATTGTATGTTAATGAGCATGTAGGGTCTCCATTGTAAAAATGGCTCAGAACTAAAAGACAGTGTTAAATATGATGAAGGACAAACAGCTGATCAGCTCATTATCATTAACATTAGCTCATTAGCTCATGCACAGTTGTTTGTATATATGCACTGATTCTTTTGTGAAATAAGAACCTGTATTTACATACATTCTGTTTCCCTTTCTGTGTTGTAGATTAACCCAAAATGAGGTCTCTGCTTCCCCTGTGCTTGACCGTCCTGCTCTTTATGAGTAAGTCAATTCACTGAACATTACAGCAGAAGGGAGGTTAAAGGTCACCGGAGTGTCTGCTACTAGGCTTTGTTTACATTTATACTGATTCTATCTGTCATTAGATTATCTAGTAAAGCATGTTTGCCTTTGTATTGTATTGTAAAATACGCTAACCGTCCACTTTATTAGAAACACTCACTGGCCACTTTATTAGAAACACCCACCTTGGGCTTCCACTCACTGGCCACTTTATTAGAAACACCCACCTTGGGCTTCCACTCACTGGCCACTTTATTAGAAACACCCACCTTGTGCTTCCTCTCACTGCCCACTTTTTTGGAAACACTGACCTTTTTCTTCCTCTCACTTTATATAATGGAAATCCATATATATGCTCATATTTGTCATATATTTGAAATTTATATATCAGATTTCCTTATGGTTCCTTCTCAGATTTCCACTGTATATGTTTAATAAATGTTACATTTATGAGGTTGTGGAGGTCAGTCAGGTTCATTAATTCTCTCTCTCTCTCTCTCTCTTTAAAATTAGGTGAGATGGTGAACTCCTCATTTGGTAAGTTAACTGACATGTACCAAATTATTAAAAAGGAAACATTAATTTACATGATTAATTTAAATGCACTCCATTTATAAACCCTCTTCAGATTCTTTTCCATCATGTCCACACTGTGAAATAAAAAAAAAAGTTTGTCAGTTCGACCTAATAAATTGCTCGGTAAACAGTTAAGCAGTCTAATCTTTGTTGATCCTATGAGACTCATTAGCTGACCAAGCTTCAAAACCAGTCTTTAGTTATTTATTAATATATCTTTCTAAAAACAGTATAAATTTAATGTTGATCCTATGAGACTCATTAGCTGACCAAGCTTCAAAACCAGTCTTTAGTTATTTATTAATATATCTTTCTAAAAACAGTATAAATTTAATGTCACGTGTTCCTACACGTACAGTAGGTGTGTTCAGTGGTTCGTGCCCACTTTACCATAAGTTCACGTTCTACCACATTCTACCAGCTTCCCTTAGACACTCTATTGTGGAATGATCCAACCACTTCTCACCTTATCATACATACATACATACATCATCTAAACCGCTTATCCTTCTGGGTCGCGGTGGGGTGCTGGAACCTATCCCAGCTGTCATTGGGCAGAAGGCAGGATACACCCTGGACAGGTTGCCAGTCCATCGCAGGGCAGACAGACAGACATACATATACAGTCACACACTCACTCACACCAAGGGGTAATTCAGCATGTCCAATTGGCCTGACTGCATGTCTTTGGACCGTGGGAGGAAACCGGAGTACCCGGAGAAACCCACACAGACACGGGGAGAACATGCAAACTCCACACAGAAAGGGCCTCGCTCAGGAATCGAACCCAGGCCCTTCTTGCTGTGAGGCGACAGCGCTACCCACTGCGCCACCGTGCCGCCTTCTCACCTATTCTTTAAATTTAAATTGAATATGAGAAACCATGCAGTATATCTCACTATTAATAAACTTACAAGAGATGTGTTCCAGTGGTCGCTCCACCACCAGGTTCACAGTGTTTGATATCTTTAGCTAACATTACAGTTTTTATTCATTAGGGCTGGAAATAGTTTCCATTCATGAGCCAATCTAACTGTAGAAAGACCAGAAAACCACAAAGTAGGTCAGCTAACAAGCTTATGTTGTTATATATAAAACTTCTTCATGTCTTAAACTTATTTATTTGCTGGAATGAGAAACCAAGCTGACCTGCTGGTGATAAAATGAAATCTGGAGGAAGCTTTTAGCTTAAAAGTGGCATTATAGTTAATATGCTGTAAAGAAACTCGTACATTTCCAAAGAAGTGGAGGTGAATCAGTAGTTTACGGTTCATTCAGTCAGACTCTCTGTGTTTCTCTCCCCCTCTTAACATAAGGCGATGGGTCAGGAGGAAACGGTAAGTTAAATGTTGTTTCCTTGTGTTCAAATTTGATTAAGAAAAGAAAGACTGTGTCACTTAGAATTCATTCTCTCTCTCTCTCTCTCTCTCACGCACACATTAGAACACGGGTCAGGAGGATTTGAAGATGGTAAGTTAAATATCATATTCTTGAGTAAATTAGATTAAAGAAAACACTACATCACAATCTGTGCATTTCGATTTAGAAACACATAAATACACACTAGCACTGTCTCCTAACACCAAGAAGGGTCGGGGTTCGATTCTTTCTGTGTGGAGTTTGCATGTTCTCCCGCGTCTGTGTGGGTTTCCTCCCACAGTCAAAGACATGCAGTCAGGCCTTAGATAATGTGTTTATGTGTGTGTGTGTGTGTGTGTGTGTGTAAATACACACTGCAGAAAATGTCACCATGGCAGGTCTGAGATTTCCATGTTCAGATTGTTGCATGTTTTCCAAATATTTATTACTTATTTTAAGTAATATTAAAATTATCTGCCAATATATTGAGATGATACGTTTTTGGGTAGGCCTGTGAAAAAAAAAATACATATATACATATATATGTGTGTGTGTGTGTGTGTGTGTGTGTGTGTGTGGGCGTGTGTAAAATAATAATTTCTCCATTGACTACTATTAAAAGCCAAGAACATTATTCATTATCTTGTGAAGCTACCTTTTTGGAGATACAAGGTTTGGTTCTGACATGGGGCCCTTGGCTCATGGGGCCCTAGGCAACTGCCTCCTTTAGCCTAGTGCAAAGGTCACCCCTGACCAAACCCCAGCTAATGGGAAAGCAGGCTACTCATACAATTAAATGAAAAAACTGCCTAATGTACCTGCTGCTTTCTTAATAATGCTACATTATACTGTGCTAACTGTTTTAACAGTGAACTTTCTTATGCTTGTTGTACCCCATAATGTGCTGGTAACACAGAACACAGAAGTTTAACTGCCATTCATTTCTCATTGGTTGCTAATATAGCCAGCTAAGGAGCTTATCACGTTACCTAACCTGAGCAGCTGGAAATAAAGCATGCTGACAGCATTACGAGTGATCAAATAAAAAAACGAGTTATGGGTTTGCATTTTACAGGCATAATCTGTTAAACTCATATTTATATCATAGCTGTGTTGTGTAACAGCCTATAGTAACTTATGTGTGTTGCGTAACTGAACATCTCCAGAAGTTAAAGTCACTCTGGCTAATGTTAGCGTAGCGTCTTGTACGGTTAAATCACATTTAGTTAATCATATTGTCATAACAAAGTTTTTGAATGATGTTGAAGGGTATTAATATGAAGAGTACATTACAAAGAAGTGGAGTGAATCAGTAGTTTATGGTTCATTCAGTCAGACTCTCTCTGTTTGTCTCCTCCTCTTAACATTAGGCGAGGGGTCAGGAGGATACGGTAAGTTAAATGTCATTTCCTTGTGTGCAAATTTGATTAAAAAGATCTATGTCTATGTCACATAGTATTCATTTACTGGCTGACCTTTACTTATGTGTAAATTTGATTAAACACACTTCTTTTGCTATATTTTTCACAGTAATTGTGCATTAAAACGTGCAAAAATGTATTCACTTATTACTAATTACTACTGATTACTCATTTTTCCTTATGAAATGACTTGCTATGCCATTATTTTGCAGTAGTACATCATTATTTTGGGATGCTACATCATTATTTTGCTATATTAAGTCATTATTCTGAGACACTCTCTTTATTTTTAAATACTAAGTCATTATTTTGAAACACCTTCTCATTATTTTGAGACACTATCTCACTATTTTGAGGTACTAAGTCATAATTTTGAGATACACATACACATTATCCTCCTGGGTCGCACGGCGGTGCTGAAGCCTATCCCAGTGGCCACTGGGTGAAAGGGGAAATCACCCTGGACAGGCCGCCATTTCATCACAGTATTTTGAGATGTCTCATTAGTTTGAGATAGTAAGTCATTATTTTGAGATGCTAGGTCATTATGTTGAGATAGTAAGTCATTATTTTGAGAGACTGTCTCTATATTTTGAGATGTTTTATGCATTTGAGATGAGAATCGAAATAAATGTAAGCATGTAAAAAAATCAGGTTTCTTAAAATAACAAGCATCTCGAAATAATGAGATTGTATCTCAAAATAATGACTTATCATCTCATATTAATGGGGTATTATCTCCAAATAATGACTTATCATCTCATATTATTTAGGTAGTATCTCAAAATAATGATTTTATATCTCAAAATAATGAGATTGTATCTCAAAATAATGACTTATCACCTCATATTAATGGGGTAGTATCTCAAAGAAATGATTTTACATCTGAAAATAACGAGAAAGTATCTCAAAAAGATGACTTATTATATTAAATTTATGGCATAGCAAAACTACTAATTAGGTGGTAGATTTTGTCATTTTAAATGGTGGGAATGGACTTCCATTGATATCTATACATTAAATAATCAAATTCTTGAAGCGTGTTGAAAAGTATAAATATCAGGTATATATTTAACATGATCAGGAGGTTAATCAGTAATTTGTGGTTCGCTGTTTTGACTCTTTTTGTCCCCCCCCTCTCTCTCTTTCTCTCTCTCTCTCTGACATTAGATGATGAGGAATATGAACACGGTAAGTTGACTGGAATTTCCTTCCTTAAGATATAATAACATTTCTCTGCACTTCATTTACATGGTTGTGAACAAATGTTGGAGCAAAGCGTTTTTCTTGTGAACTGGGCTCCAGAACCTTGAGTTGATAAAGGGCTCCCCAGTAACTGAACTCATCGCTCTGAAAATAGAAAAGCATCAGTGTTTAGAAAGGAGCATGGCTTGTCCTACTACTCTTTAATTGTGAGAAGGAGTAAGGCAAGATGCCAGTGATGCTTCTAATGGGAGCCCTGTCTAGTCAGCCCTATCTAGGTCACGGAACTGGATGGCCTGGGTGTGTACGTCTACAAGCCAAGTTTCAATATCAGTGATAAACAAGGTGTTACTCGAAAGACTGAGCCAGCCAGTAGGGACATTTTTATACAAATGAATCATTGATCATTTAAAATATAAAGAATGTTTTTCTGAATAATGAAACAACAGTGAAGGTGTCCTACTTTAACTGTATTATAGGGAAAATCTGAGGGTTTGGTCAGCAGAGGGTCTAAGACGTATGAAGAGCCATTTTAGCTTTTAATCCTTTCTTTCTTGATATCAGGAATTCAATTTAAAAATTTTATTCTCACTAGTCAAAATTTTATTTTTACTAGTGGTAATTCATGAGTTTCCCCATTCATTTTAATGGGGGAAACAATATAACTAGTAAGAATGTTCAGTCTTATTACATGTAATAATTCAATTTTTACTAGTAAGAATGAAATTCTTCATATAAAAAATGTTACATTTCACTAGTAAAAATAAAGTTTTTGATATCTAGAATTAAATTTTTACTAGTACTAGTTACTAAACGGACGTGTTAGATTATAGGACGTAGGGTTCAGGGTAAAAAGTGGCGAAGAAGGTAATATTTCGGAAAGTGTCCCGCTTTAGCAATGTTATGTCCCATGATGATTGGGAGAGAGGACACGGCCATTAGTGTCAGTTCCAGTTGTGCTAAGAAATCTGAAATTTCTGATCTGGTGTGGATCAGGTGCCTTCATTAATTGCCAAGTTGCTGCATCTTATTTTTTTTTTTATAAAAGACTGACTTGTGTTTAAAAATTACACACTCCCAGTTTATTGATGTGATTGTGGGGTGTCTGTCTCTCATTAGAAAGGTGTGAGCATCTGCACTGCACCCGGAACGAGGTGTGTAAGGAGAGAAATGGCCATTTTGGCTGCGCTTGTGGAAGGCACAATCCAAAGCCCAACCCTGATTCTTTTGGTACGTGTTATTTACATTTCTTTGTTCAGTTATTTGTTACCCCCAGTTTAGTCGTACTTAGTTCCCTTTTACATTTATCCTATGGTACTACGTGCACTGTGAGCCCCTTTCTTAGTGTTATTCTCTGAAGTTCTGGCATTTTCTGAAATCTTCAGAAAATGCCAGAATTCAAAAATTCCTTCACCTTGTCATTACATCGTCATTTTGGCTGTTGACGCCGTTTGCTCCGTTTTTCTCAGATGTCCATGAGTCATGTCACGGCGGCTCTGGGTCGGTGTCTCTGTCCCGCTGTCAGCTCTTTGATGCTGGATTTCCTGCCGAGTACCTCCACCTGAATGATCGCCACTGCAAAGGGATGATCGAGGACGGCAGGGTGGATTTCCATTTCGACTACCATGAACACGTCTGTGGCACAATTCTGGAGGTACAACAGTTTCTCCTGCCGAAGAAAATAAGAATTTCTACAGAAGATTTTTTCTGTTAGTCTAATCCAATCTTTAGTCATTCTTTGCTCCAGTTCCCAAGAATAGTAAAGATTTTTGGACGTTTTATGTGTGTTATATTTCTACATATAAACTACGTTTGAGATCTCTATGCCAAGGGATTGTCATATTCTATAATTTTAGTCAAAACAAAAATAACTAATTATATGCATTTGGTCACCCCCCACCAGACATGCACACATCAAAAAAAGCATAAAACATTTAGTAGGCCAACGTCATTGTATGGCAAAAAACAATGAGGCCAACCTTGCTTTGCATAAAGAAATGAGGCCACTGAGGCGAGTCCACATGGAAAAAGCAAATGAATAAAGCACTACTGTCAAAACGGCTGTAAGATGCACAGCAGGTTCAACCAGCAACACCCTTTCCTATAAAGCTTTCGCTTATGATGGACACAGCTTTTACCCAATTTTAGACAGCATAAATTAAGTGAAACTTTGAGGAAAAACAGTAACACTTAACCTCCAAAATCCTCTTAAAGTACAGCAGATTGCCACAATGGGCATGGAAAATATCTACGCTACGAAAATATCTACCACTATCTTACCTTTAGTCAACCTTAGATGACTTTGCACATGAAATGAAATGTTTGTTTTGGCATTTTGACCTTAGCAGCTTTAGTAAAACAGAAAAGGACATTTGTTTGTTTTTTTTTTAACTTTTTTTGGCTTTAGAAATGGTTCAGTCAGGAGCTGCTAATGCTTGACTGAGGTAATGCCAGAAAGCGACAGCTGTAGATGAGTGATTGGAGGGTTCAGAAAAGAAAATAAGGTGGGATTACCATGCACGTCATTGTGTTGTGGGCAGTAGCATCTCTAGAGGTGGCAAAGGGGTGGCACAGAGTTTCAGCAGGGTCGCAATGTGATTGTGTTAACCTCCGGCCAACAATAAAGGGGTTAGAATGACCCACCCCCAACCACCATTGATTGTGTGGAAGAATTTGACTGGCCGGTAAATTTTTTGGCCACAACACAATGACAACACTAGAAAACACAAGAAAATTAGTTAGCAAACAGCAAATCACTTTTCTGTTGGAAATACGTCGGATTGGCCTGATTTATCTGGTAGGCGGCTGTACTGTTTATACTATTTTTTCAGTAAAACTCAGGATTTTTCCTGATTCAGTATTGTTTGTTCTCACATGTACTAAAGGTCCTTTCGTACAAAGCCCACCAGGGCACTCGCCCAGTTAACATGTTGGTAGCACAGTGGTTTAGTAAGGATTTCTTCAAGTAAAATCAATTAGCCTCATAGCTCATGAGATCAGAACACAAACTGAAAAATACTTTTCCTTAAGCCCACTGTATGTATCAGTTGTCTTTAAGTCAAATTCACACTTAATCATTAATCACATTCTTCCCAGTGAAGCAATTTTCTCTTTGTCTTATTTAACTGATATTATATTGCAAAGATTTTGTTTGAATTTCTGGCACCGGCAAGAAAACCAGAGCCCATGTTTTGCTACATGAAGTTGTAAAGGAAGAACATCTAAATACTTCTAGATACTTTTCCTGCAGGTTTCAGGACTTCAAAAATAAGATTTGTGATTTAAACAATTGTATGTTTTTTATGATTCAAGTATGCAAGAAAAAAATATAAGGAAAGATCGTTAACAACTTCCATGATTTCACCAGGAAACGATTACGACTAGCAATAATTACATTTCATAAAATCCGATCCTCTCTCTGTCTCTAGACGAACAAAACACACTTCATCTACAAGAACGCCGTTCAGATGGTTTACGGCCCGGTTCATTTGATCAATCGTGACAGCTGGCTGGCCATTAACTTCTCCTGTGTGTACCCACTTATCAAGAGCATCTCCATGCCCATGTCCATCTTGGCCAAGGAGAGGTAGCAATGTTTCTGTCACCAACATCTCATCTTTGCATAAGTCTTGGTTAAAAGTTCTTTAAACATTTGGCAAATGTTTTTGTCCACAGTGTGGTCTACAAGGACTTGCCTGGTGAAGAGGGCACATACCAGATCCGCATGGTGCCCTACAAAGATGCTTCATTCACACATTCTTACGGTGGTAATTTTGAGCTTGAAGTGAACCACCATGTCTTTGTGGGCGTGGAGGTGGAAGGAGTCGACGGACAACAGTTCTCCCTTGTGCTGGACAACTGCTGGGCAACTCCACACAATGACATCACCGACAATGTTCGCTGGGACCTGATCGTTAATGAGTAAGAGAAACATCTGAACTAGCTTGCTTCAGAGTTATAAATTTTAGATTAAAAGACCCTTATTAGTCCCACAATGGGGAAATTTCACCTCTGCATTTAACCCATCCGTGCAGTGAAACACCACATACACACTAGTGAATGTACACACACTAGGGGGACAGTGAGCACACTTCCCCAGAGCAGGGGGCAGCCCTATCCACAGTACCCAGGGTGCAGTTGGGGGTTATGTGCCTTGCTCAAGGGCACTTCAGTCACGTACTGTTGGCTCAGGGGATCGAACCAGCGACCTTCTGGTCACGAGCCTGTTTCCCTAAAATTTATTTATATACCAGCTTTCATGCTTCAAAAAACTAATTTTTTTTTTTTTTTCATTTTTAAAAATGCATTTTTAGCTAATTAAAAGAGCCCAATTGTCCTCGGCTCTCGCTAAAAACTTCCAACCTGCCTCTAGGTCAGATCTTTTTGAACAATGCCAAGAGACAAGAGAAACCACACCTCCATAGTTTGGTGGAGGAGGGATAATGGTCTTGGGTTGTTTTCATGGTTTGGGCTGGCCCCTTAGTTCCAGTGAATGGAAATCTTAGTGCTACAGCATAGAAAAAGTGTTTGGGCCAAATTGTGCTTTCTGGGGACAGTATTTTGAGACCCAAGCCGTGATCTGTTGTTCCCTCTCTTTAGCCTTCGTCACAAATCTTCAATTCTTCTTTCACTCTCCAGGTGTCCCAGCCGTAGGGATGACTCAGTGAGGGTGTTGCAGAACGGAGTCTCGACATCCAGCCGCTTCTCCTTCAGGATGTTCACCTTCACTGAACTGTCTGATCGTATCTTCCTGCACTGCAAGGTTCACCTGTGCCTGCGGAAGAGTGGTCGCTGCGCACGGGTAAGCTTAGCCAGTCATTGACCACGTCTTTACTGAAATGAGCTTAAACACCTTACTTTTGAAAGCAATGTGGGAATTTAAACAGTTCCTATATTTATTTTACAAAAGAATAACTAAAATAAAAGGATACACCAAAATAATCCAGTTCCGCTTATCAAGTGCACTAACTTTTATTTCCTTTCTCAGTCATGCAATCGTCACCATGGGGAACATGGTTCAAGGAGACGCAGATCTTTGGACTTCCATGACACAGCTGCCATTAGCATGGGCTTCTGATTTACTGTTTGAAAGCTCCATTTATTATGATGCAACTCTATTGTTTAATCTGTAATTAATCAAATTGAAGTAATTATTTACTCTTTTCCTTATAATCAGAAATACATATGTGATTTTGCTGTACTTTACTGCCTTAATTCTGTTAAGCATAAGCAATGACAATAAATATCTCAAGCATTACATGTTGTTCAAATGTTCATTGCAATATGGGCCTGGATATGTCAACAACTTATACGTGATACATGAAAGGATCTGCAGGGACTGCCTATAGGTTTTTATAACAGTGTATGTGGAGCTAATGTGTTTACTGTTGCATCATTTATCTAATGAGGTCTAGTTCTTGGTGGCTACTAATGGGCTAAAGCATGAAGGTACCTTATACATCAAATCAAATACATAACCAGATTATGGGCCAGATTCATAAAACTGACTTTAAGAGCAAATAGCGTGGCAATAACCTGTTTGCTGATTCATAAACAAGGACTACCAGTGTGTTTTACCACTTGTGTGATGTGAGGCGTGGCTGTGCATTTGATTTACATATGGTCATAGCGATTCATAACAGGAAACACTTGAAGAATGCTGGTGGTAGTTTTCCCCAGAAAAGCTTTTGAAGGAGAAATCACCCTCTTGCGTGTGGAAAACAGCTTTAGCTTGTAATCCAAATAAGTGAAGGGTCATTTGACGTGTTGAAATTCTAATTACAGGTCCAAATTGAGTTTGTTACAAGGGGTTTTAGCTTTTAATCCTATGTTTCCAATGGATTTTACAAAAGATTTCAATTTACACATGTGAAAATGATACTTGCTGGTAAATACAAATTTCTTACTAGTGGAAATTTAATAGTGGAAATTTAATTTAATGTGCAAATTGAATGCCTGAGAACAAGACAAATAGGAAATAAAAGCTAAAAAGGCTTGCCATAGTAGTTAGAATGGCTTGAATTTTTACCAATGAGAAATTAAATCTTATATGCTAAAATCCAATTCCCACAATTAAATGTTTAACACTATAATGCAATTTTATGTAATATTATATTTCCTAGCATCATCAACATTTCTGATAAAGAAACTGTATTTCTTGATTCAAATTTCAAAACATTTATACCAAACAATTGACTATTATTTGCCATCAGATCTTTCCTTTAAATTCATAGCTTTGGTCCTGTTTCATTTGATGCATCCAGTCCAGTCCATGAGTCCATTTTGGCAGCCAAACAGAGCTTCACTTGAGTCTTTAATATGCAAGACCCCATATACTTGTGTGAGTAGTTCTTATTTAGCACAGTGTAATTACTGTCTCTTACTGCCCTACAATGGACTGGCAACCTGTCCAGGGTGCCTGTCCTGCCTTCTGGGCAAAGACCGCTGGGATAGGCTCCAGCACCCCTTGCGATCCAGAAGGATGAGCGGAAGAAACTCATCCTCCTCTGGGCTGTTACAAATGTACAAAAGTGGGATTAAAACAGTATCACATGGAAAAGATCCAAGACTGATATGAAATAGCTGCCAGAACTCTGGATGATAAAGATATCAGAACATGGCAGTTAAGAAATCCGGTATGAGTACATGGCAGATTCAGAAAGAAGCAGGTTAAACGTTTATGAGTCCCATTTAGGATGTAATGGAAGAGTAGAGAATTCAAGAGAAAATGTTGTTGATCTGCACAAATCAGGAAATGGCTACCAGAAAAGACTTTACTTCCAGTGACCAGTTCAAAGCCCTCAGCTCTATGCCTGCATCAGTGCCACGGACAACAACTCAGGTCAGTGTTTTAGTCTCTGGAGACTCCATCGACAGTAAAGTAGCTTGCTTTAGTGGTAATGCTGCTATCTCTTGTTTTCCAGGTGCCCAGATCTTGGATATCTCCAACTGTTTACCATGGCTCTGAGCAAACACGAGGACGTCGGCACCATGATCAATCACATGGGGGTGAACACCATTTCATCTCATCAGAAGTCCAAAGGGAGGATTTCGGATTACATCTAGACACCGTTAAGAATGGACAGAGGCCGGGATCGTCATCTCAGGACCACCTATAGAAGAGGAAGCAAGGTGTTCAGCAGGCTCTACTCGCTCCACTGTTGGCTCCAAGCCTGGTGCAATAACAACAGCTTTGGCTATGTGAGTACCTGGAGTGCTTTGGGGGAGTGACCGGCCTTCTACCGCAGGGATGGATTACACCCAAGGTGCCGTGGTTCTATCATCTTGTTTAAGAACATAAAGAAGGTTCTGCACCAGGCCTGACTGGACATAATGGAGGTAAACAACAGACAGATAAGTAGTGTTGACAGCAGACGGCTAAGTGCTTTTAATGATATAGACAGTGGCTCCTCAATATCTACCATTCCCCTCTTTCTCTGCTGTCAAAATACTAACGTTTCTATTAGTTATGATGGGAGTAAGATGCCTAAACTGGCCATTAAAAATAGTACAAACAATGCCCACAATACTGAAGCAGTTAAATCACAAAAAAAGATTTCAGAAGATCTGTTTTAATACTAGTAGACTCAACTAAACTTGTACCATTTTAAACGTTACGAATCCAAAGAAAAATATGCATGGTCAGAACGCCAACAATCTAATTTCTGTTCCTTTACAAAAGACCAGTCCCCTTTAAACACAGAGTGTAGTGAGCAGTAAATTAAGCCTTGCTTTACTCAATGTAAGAACAATAAATAACAAAACACATCTGATTTGAGAACATATTAAAAAGCATAAGCTTCATTTTATATTTTAACAGAAACATGTCTATATGAAAATGGCACAGCAACTTTAAGATGCTCATGAAAACTACAGATTTATGCATACGGTAAGACAGGGCATGCAACGAGGAAGAGTGGTTTTTCTTTATAATAGATTTTTACTGCAAAACCACTGTTGGTGAATTTATATCTTTACAGTATGTTGCGATCAACCTTCTTAAGGACACTTCTATGTTAATAAATGCAAAGTATAGACCTCCCAGGCCAAATAGTAAATTTTGGCAAAAATTGCTGACCTAGCCTCAACTGCATCCACAAACTATGATAAAATTCCTTTCTCCAGGACTTTAGCCTGCATATTGATAACCCATACACAGCAATACTATAGAATTTATTAGACATCTAGAGACATTTAGTTTGAAGCAGCTCTACCTACAAGCAGGATCTGGTAATTACTAAAGGTTTAAACACAAATGTGTCCCTCATTTCTCAGATCAGTTCTGTATATTCTTTCAAGTCAATTTAGAAGTAAGGATGAAAGTTCCTGAAAGTTATTCTAGTAAACCTTACATTGAGTTGAGAGGTTTAAAACATTTATAATTGTTCATCGGATACAGCTCTAACTCCATCCTATAATGATCTTGTTTCTGATTTAAATACTGAAAGGAAACTGCTGACACTCTTATTTCAGTCAAATGGAAGAAAAACTCACATACTAAGAAAACTAAACTACAGCGGTTTCCCATGACTTACCAAACTGCAATTCTTGTGGAGTCCCACAAAGTTCAGTTTTAGGGCCTTTGCTTTTCTCTTTATACATGTTGCCTCTAGGTGATGTCATTCAGAAACATGATATCAATTTTCATAGCTATTAAGATGACACACAATTACACATTTACATTCCTTCTGATAATCAAGACTCTGTAGACAGACTAACCAGCTGTGTGTCAAATACTTCTCAATGGATGTCACAAAATGTTCAGCTAAATCACAAAAAAATGAACGTGTCACATTTGGCAAGCCCCCAGTCAACCCCACACTTATTGCCCCCTACTACCCTTATGTGGCATGCACCCGTCCCCTGGGCCCCACCTTCATGCTTGCTCTCAGGTCCATTATCGGGGCCCAGGGGATGAGAGCATGCCACACCATACCTTCAAACCTTAAATATCTAGCTCATCAGTGTTGAGAAGGAAAAGGCCCTTCCCCTGTAAGGCACCTGTGACAACAGCCACGTCCATCTCGCTAGTCTCTCAGTTGTGCATGCCAAGGCACCCTCCTAGTTGTTCCTAACCACCTCTGCTGAGCCTAGATCAATCCCCAGCACTTTAAGACCAGTTTACCTCCACTGCACCCCTCCACAGACACATCATTTGCATAGGCTGACAGAAAGATATTTGCTAACCCCTGAATACTCACTCCCTTCACGCTTTTCCATTATAAAACCAGTAGACGCTCTACAGCGAGGGAAAAGAGCTGGTCCGACAGTGCACATCCTTGCTGAACCCTTTTCCCCAGCACGATTGGTCTGGCCAGTCCCCCTCCCACTTTCATGAGGCAGGAGGCATCTGTGTACAGCAGTTTAACATGCTTAATAAAATTCTCCCCAAAACCAAACTCCGTAAGGTGTTAAAAAGATGCTATGATCATGATCGACACGATCAAAGGCTTTTTGCTGGTTCAAAGAAAATTCCATCATGACCCTTTTTGAAAAAAAAGCAATCCAGAATGCTTGGTCTCAGTGTATAATGGTATCCAGTGTGCCTTTCAGCCTATTAGCCAAAGTTCTTGAAAAGAATTTGAAGTCAACAACAGCACCAAACAGCACTATAAAATGCCATTTTATCAGGTCACACAAGCCCCCCTTTGTTAGGTAAGAGAGTGAGAACTGCTCTCCCACAGCTAAGCGGCAACTCACCATTCTTTATATACTCTTTTAACATTGAAAATATATCCAGATCAACCTGATCCCAAAATGTCTTGGGCTGGGTGTACACCCAAGACTTTTTTGTTGTTTTGCCGTGAGGGCACTCACACTAGACGAAAAGGCAAAGAAAGAGTATAAAACACATAACAAGCTTGGGCTACGAATAAGAACTCAAACTCCCAGATCTCCTCAGAGATCACATGACGCAAACAAAGCTAAACGTACTGGACCTGTTTGGGCTTTTATGCGGAGCAAAAGCGCAAACTGGGATATAAAATGGGGTTGAGAAACGTTGATATTACAGTAAAAGATGGAGAGATATTTCACTACAAACTAGCTGCTGACTTAAAATTGTAAAGAGAGTGACGTGACGTCTGGATCCATATATTATGACCATGAAATCGGCTCTCATTTGCCAGTTCTCTACACACAGCTCCTCTAGAGGTTGAGCA